TTTTGCAGAGAGAGTCTAATGAAGCAAATGAGACATTGGATTGAAAGAGACGATAAACAACAGTCAGCTGGAAAGAAAATTTAATCATCATATATATTAGTTAAAGAAAAACTCTAATTAGGAATAATTAAACACTTTAATGAATTAATTAAAAGACAGTCAATAAAAAGTTTTTAAATTAAGATATTTAAACAATACTAATTAATTCACCTTATACTATCTCCCTGATTTGTTCAATATACTGGTATATAGAGGGATTATTCAATATAATTAAAAAAAAGAGAGGAAAAAACACACACACAAATAACGATATGAAGATATATATCCATCGAAAGATCACAAAAAGCCAAAGAAAACATACGTAAAATGAAATTTGAGTAAAAATAATTAATGTTGCTATCTATAGCCGGAGATTAAGAAGCATACCTTTGCTTTTAGCTGACTTGTCAATGCTCAAAGCTGAAAGCAGCGGATGGAGACATTTGCTGGAAATTAGCTACAGGGATGGAAGAGTAAAACAAGAAGAGAGAGGCTCTGGAAGGTAGAAGGAGATCGATGAACTTTGGAGAGAGGACATTAAGGTTGGTGGGGTATGTGAAAAAACTAGTTTGAATGAGAAACACTGAAAAAGGGTTAATTACATATCCCCTATTGCATTATATACTGACAGTGTAAATTAATTATGAAAAAAAGTCAATTTATTAATAATAAATTTTTAGAGCTAATACTAACCTATTAATTTATGAAGGATTTGAATAACCTAATATGCAGCCAACTAATTAGACAGAACTAGAGCCTGTTGCGTTGGCTAGTTTGAAAAAAATGAAATAGAGGAAAAAAAATTCTTCTAATTAAATTAAAATATTATACCAATATTTAAGATCTGGTTGGTTGGTAAAAATTGACTCTATATTAAAAATATTTTTAAAAAATTATAACAGCCATATTATGGAGTTAAAATTTAAAGAAAATTTATAAAAAAAATTAATTTATCATTTATATATCTTAAATTTTAAACTTTAGCTAGTAAATTAGTTAGAATTGGATTTATTGTGTTTGATTTGAGGAAAATGAAGAAAAAGGAAAAAGTTTGTCTAATTAAATTAATACATTAGACAAATATTTTATCTGAAAATATAACAAAATTCGAACTTGTTGGAAATCAAATTTCCTAATTACATATCTTCCTCCTTTCTAATATTGTTAGTGATATTGATTTGTTTTACTTCAATTGGTTTGTGATGGTCTTTGCATGGACAGAATATAGGATTGCAGTACACCCGTTGTTTCCATC